GCTGGTGGGCTCGGGTTGGAGACCGAGCTCAGCGTGTGGCTGGACACCCGTAGGGGGATGCCAGGGGCAAAGCCAGAGTGTATCTAGGACAGGAGGCGCGTGTGAATTAAGGGGAAAGGGCTGTGTGCCTTTTGTGTAGACATCGAGGCTTGATTTTAATGAAAGAAGATCAGGTAGAGATAAGACCTAGAGAAAAAAAAGGGGAGAAAGAATGAAGTTGCTATGGGACACCCCAAAAGGAGGGGTGGAGAGCCTGGATAATCCTGGATACTGGTCCCAAAGGCAACCAGACTGAAAGAACTAGAAGAGCATCCGTCCAGGAGTCGTTGGACCCACCAAAGACATATGTCAAGAGCAGTGTTGCAGGAGGTCAACAGATCACGTAAGGAAAGGAAATGTGGGTGTGTGTAAAAGGATAGTCTAACGCAAAGGGATTTTGCCCCCTAAAGCTCCTTTAGCACTGGAGAAGACAGCGGAATTTGAAAATGGCACAATACGCAGGTGTAAATGTAACGTGGGAAATCAGATGGGAAATGAAGCCACCAGGGACGAGTGTGCGAGGCTGAGCAGAGATGGGGAGAGAATCCCAAGAGGTGCAATGAAGAGAGCTGATGAGGAAGGGTTGTCTGTGCACTGGATGTGGCCGTGCCACGAAGGCAGGCAGGCAGGCAGAAGAACTAACATGCTACTTCTGAAGAAAAGAGTTACTAGAAACTTAGATTTATTTAGGTTTGTTGGATCGATGTGATACTGCAAGGGGGACTGATGGTTGGAATATCGCTGCTTGTCTTTCTCCAGTCCCTTTCCTAGCTGGGGAGAGTTTGCGTAGCTTGGTGTCCGCTGACCGCTCACGCAGCATTTGGGAGGATGGCAAGCAGGTCATTTCTGCTTCTTCAATAAAATGAACCTGTTCTCTCTTTGTGTGTATATTGTGTGATACAATGACAAATTATAACTAGAAATTAATTTATAAAAATGCAATCTTATATGAATATGCACTTCATATGATGAGTATTCTGATGCCACAGAGCTCATACTCTGTGTCTTCATAGCCATCTGTACAGTCAATGTAATTGTGGTCATCATTTATTTTACTACAGATCAAATATACAGTAAAATATACTTCAAAAGTGAGTCCCTGAAGGATTGTGTTCTATCCATATCTTGTTGAGAATGAAAAATGTTTGAAACTTCAACTCGCATATAGATACAGTACTTCAAAGAGACAATTTGCAAATGTCTGTTAAGGCCATCTGGAAGGGCTGGCAGAAGGGCAGCTAGTGAACCAGTTATACGTGCCAGGTTCAATTTGTCACACTTTACAGTACTGAGAAGTATTTTCTTCTCATATCCAGAAACAAACCTCTCATTAGCAAAGATGCAACAGCATGTTTCTCAAAATACATCTTCTATGAATGAAAAGATGCAATGTGCCTGCCTTTAGAAGGCTGGTATCTCAGGTGTGTCGTGTATGTATAAAGAAAGGTATGTAGTAATTGGTTTTAAACATAACAAATAGGAGGACTCTCATTTCTGTGCTTAAAACAGTAGCATCTTAACAACAAATCCTATGAGCTGGGAGACTGACAGTTGGCAAAATGAAATAATTTAAAAACTAAGACATAAAATTGTTGACTGTTGACCACAGCAAGTGCAAATGTAAGCAGACTATTAGAGAAGTAAAAACAGTGCAGGTTTTCTCCTTAGATATAACAGGGATACTCTTTTTAGAATTACTTTGGTTACACTGATTTCAAAATTCCTGATCTGCATTCAGCCTAGTGTTTTTTTATTACTTTTACATTAGGCATCTTTTTTTTTTTCAATAATTTGACTCTTTTGTAGAAATTACTTAGCTCAGATAAAGCAGCAGGGACTGGAGTTTCTGAATGAACTGAAACTGAAGGCACCAACTGAGTACTCCAACTGCGAAAAACATTTGCTGGTACTGTATGTGGTAGTGAAAAATCTGTGTACAATTTATCCGCCCCGGCTGCTCCGCTTTTAAGTACATGCAGTGAAATTCAGACCTTACTGGAATCACTGTGAACATTCCCACTGGTTTCGCCAAACACAGAGATGCTATCACAAGCTCATTAAATGTTGTAAATGTCCTTGTATTTTATCAATGTTTAGTTATAAATTAAGGCTAGAAAGTAGAGAGAGCACTGATTTTCTAAAAAATAAAATTACAGTGGGACTTCTGAGGGAGAAACAACTGATTTTCAGATCACATTTGATATGTTTTATGGCAGGGACTAGGAATTGATCTTTTAACATTTTGAAGTAACAGCATTTTCTTTTGTAAAGACAGGTATATACATTTACTCAGAAATAAAGTAGTATGAAATAATACTGGATGAACAATAAATTGTGAAATCAGTAATGTTATATATTAAGCTGACAGAATAGATCCATCATGCCAGCAACGAAGCAAAATAAAATAATTCTTATGACTTAATCTTGCAAAGATGAACCACTGTTCATTGGCTCGGCTCAGCTTAAAGGTTAAACTACTCATCTTTATGAGTAAATTCAACATGTAATTTGAATTTAACACGACTTGCATTTAGAGTTGTTAATGAGCCTTCTGCCAGTAAGGGAAAGCTGAACCAAGATCTTAGCCATGTCTCTTCTCAGGCTTTTTATATAAAAACAGACTGAAGTAGCTGCAATAGGAAGACAAACTGCTTGGGAAAAAAAAAAACACTGTCACTGAATAAAACACACTGAACAAGCTTTCACAGTCCACCTTCACAGCAGTAGTTTCATTAGTCTGGTCTATGATCTTTGTGAAATCCTGTCAGACCTTCAACTGGTATTTGCAATATTTCCTGGAGAGCTTTTAAGATTCTAATGGCTCTTTAGTGCCTAGCTTTACATTAAATGTTTCTGTTAGATCAAAACCAAAGACAGGTATTAGCTGAGGCACAGGGTGGGCCTCTGAAGTGGGTCAGCAAAAACTGTACATGGAGAAGAGGAAAAACAGTCCAAGAGGGGCCTGATCCCGTCTGTCTGAACTGTTAAGTTGGTGGAAGTTTTATGTGAGGAGTCATTGCAAAATCAGGGTGTAAACTGCATTTCTATCTACATGTAATTGGAGCGTGTTTTTTTTTTTTTTTTTCCTGCACTGGGAGCCATTCCACCCAAAGCAGCTCCCTGGGATTTACATGCATAATTTTTTGAAGCCAAAACATCCTCTGTATTCCCTTTGCTTTCCTGCATAGGGTTGTGAGATGATTAACTTTTTACTATAACTAACAAGTCCGTGATACCTTTTTTAATGAGTATTTTTAACATATAGTGACGATAAAGCTATTTATATTTTTTTTTTATTTTGAGACATGACTTTCTGATACATGGTGAAACCAGAGAGTTGTGAACATTAATTCTCATTATGAACAAAGTGTTATAATCTCATGGAGCAAAACTGACCGCATAGCTAAAAGCTTTTTGGCATATCAACTCCACTTAAAGTTGTTGCTAGTAGTCCAGTTTACAGAGGATTGCAATGTAAATTAGTCTTTCTACCAATATATGAAATATTGTCCAAAATGGGTGATAAGTTTTAGCATGCTGACAGTGTGGGAACAGCAGCTCCATACAGTGAATATTCCACCTGTTGACCGGTACAGACGTTTTCAAGATCTTCAAACGTGTGGAGAGATGTCCAACCTACCTGTCCCTTTGATAGCAACGGAGAGGTTCGAATGCGGGGATGTTCCCAACGAAAATCACCAAGTTGCAGCTTTCACCTTTGCTGAAGATGAGGCTTAGCTCACTCACGCCCTGCGTCTGCTTATGCCCTGAAGAAATGTATGCTCGAGCACGGGGAAGGGCACGGCCATGGGCACGGGCAGGGGCAGAGGCGGGACAGGCCCCAGGGCGGGGGCAGCGCCGCGGCCGCGGAGGCCGGGGAGGACTGCGGGGCGGCTGCGCGGCGGCCGTCGCCATCTTTGGGCACTGCGATGCGGGGCTGGAGCTGGGCCGGGC